ACTTGGGACCACAGCAGAATGCGGGAATCACAACAAGGCATTCATTCCATTGGCAAATCCCAGAAATCAGCAGTGTTCCCAGTCTGTGTTTTTGGCGGGTCATTACACGCTGCTTTTTTTTTTTTTCTTCTTTTTTTTTAAGCTCATTACACATGAAAAGGTCGTCCATTCCCTCCTCCCCCCACCCCCCCCAACAAAAAAAAAGGCCGGCCACCCCACATGAAGACCGGGCCTGGGAGCTGTACCCAACTTCACTTTTGACGGAACCCAGGGGCTCCGAAGAAAAAGAGGAAACATTGCTGCTCGACACATCAACCTACTAGTAAGCTTTAAAAAAAAAAAAAAAAAAAAAAAAAAAAAAAAAGGACCTACTAGTAAGCTGCTGCCGGTTTCTTCGATCCAGGGAAAGGGAGGGGTGGGATAAAAGGATGAGGGGGTGGGTAATGAGGGGGTGGGTAATGAGGGGGTGCGTAATGAGGGGTGGGTAATGGGCTCTGGTGGGCAATGGGTAGTGATCTACTGTACTAGGGGAGTGGAGAGGTGAGGGGGGGGTGAGTAGTAGGAGGGGAGAGTGAGGGAAAACTATCTACTCTTTAATGTAGGCTTGAAGTTCGACAGGATGAAGGTGAAAGGGGTTGCGAAGGGTTTAGGGGGGGAAAAGGGTTGCCATATATTCTTTAAATTCGTGTGTGTGGAGAGTAGAGGAGGGACGCCTTCAGTCCCTCTTGCGGCCCCTTCTGGAACTTCGACCCTGAATTGCAGCGGCCCGCCAGCGTGGGGCCTCTCAAAAATGTCCCGCCCTTTGCCGCCCTTTGCCGCCCTTTGGGCAAAGAGTATGGCGGTGTACCTTTCCATGCGCTAGCAGAAGATTCAATGTCACTGAAGTGTGTTTTCTTTTTTACAATGGTTTCCTGCTCGTGGTCCGCGCCGCGGATGCGGCGGGCATCTGCTTGTTTTTTTTTCAAAAAAAAAAGATTGGAGGAACAGAGAAGAGATGAAAATCAGGTACTGATATTTTCGCCAAGGGGAGGGGGAAAGAGGGGGGGAAGCAGTTATAAGATGAAAGAATGTCGTCGCCCAAAAAAAA